TTTTTTTAAAGGAAAGTTCAACTGCTAATCTTAACCTGACCTGATCATTCAGGACTTAGAAATGTCTAGAAGGATTCTAAATTCAATGCATGAAGTACAGCACAGATTTGGCTGCACCTCTTAGTTTTAATGTAAAATGAATGAACCAGAACAATATAACATGGATATATTTAATGACAAGCAACCATAGAACTAGAGGGTTTATTTCCATCTACATGTTTAGTTTACCAGATTTTATGTTATACATTTTAGACAATTACAAAAATAGCTTAAATCTTTTACAACCAAATACCCAACCAAAAAAGAGCAAACAAAAACATTCTCACAAAGTTAAGCTAACACTGTGGTAAAAGAGTTGCTAAAACAAACTCTATCCTGATTCCTGACATGGTGCCATTTACTCATTTAGCCATAAAAAAGACACTGATAGAATCTGCGAAAGAAATCAACACACATATGTAATGTGGCAGATAACTACCAGCTTTCCCAATGAAACAAAACCCAAACCTGCGTTTTAAACCATTCTACATAACCGCAACCTCAACACACATTTGATCATGATTCCCAAAGAAAGTTCGTTTTAGCTTAATGTGATGCCTTTTCTTTTAGTTTTTTGAGTATGTGTTATTTAAGTTAACATATTTTTCTACTGATACAGAAATTGTTTTGTGTTTTAAGTGATGCAACTTTGCAGGTACAATGTAAAAGACTTCATGCAAAATGAGAATAAACAAAAGGTGATATGAGGTTTGTTACAGCTTCTTATCTGAGGCTTAAACAGGAAATATTCTGTTGGAAGACTGCTTAACAAATTTATTAAACCACCACCTGGTGTCAGGTTTATGTCACAGCTGCCCCAAATTAACAGTATTGGTCATAACCAAAATCATTTTCTTATGTTTCTGTACTGGTTAATCCACCAGTTTATACAACTACCTTATGTAAATAATATTTTTAATACTAAAATATAATTTCTGTTGTTGTCCAGTGTGCCAGCTTAAATTTGGATAGAAAAAAAAACATGAATTCAGTTTGTATTTGCCTAATAAACAAACATTATATATATATTTTTTATATTTTTAAACACATTTTTAAGAGATTTCTAAAATATTTATGATTTTTAATGACAGGTAGTCTAATAAATTTGTTAATTACTGGATCTGCAGCCTAAACCATACTCGAACATAACGTGAGCCTGGTTATAGGACATTAAGATATTTATAATTACAAGAAAGTCAGCATTACTAATGTACTGTTGTAATATAAAATCCATTTGAAATATTACAGCATTAGTTGAAAATGTTTAGCAGCCTCTGTGGTGATGGGTTAATAGTACTGAAGACAACTAACCAGTGTAACCTGTAGATTGCCAAAAATGATTAACCTGAAAATGTATTTTGCCTTTCAAAAAGATCATTACCGAGTAATAGTAATACTGCATTACAAATATCAATGCGTAGACAACTTAACATCACTTTCCATTAATACGTATATGTTTGCATATATTGATCCTATGCATTATCAGTCCTGTGTATAGTGTCCAAGCCAACACAGATTACCATTTCACCATTTGTTTTACAGTTTTTGTGCGTGTCTGTGTTTTATTTGAACAGTACACAAAAGTATTTAAGCACCAATAAATGAGTAAGTCTGAGGAAAATGTATTACAAAAACCACAACAAACTAGTTGAAGTCATCTGACTGCAAAGACTTTAGAACCACTGTGCTGAGATGTTGCTGAATGAAAAAGAAACTACCGCCAAAACAACTGCTGTGTGCATGTTTGATTAAAGGTTTCTTCTTTAGAGCGTTAGTCCTGCATTCCATGACTAATATTGATTCAAAGCTATCTAACAAACAACAAACATTTAAGTCAGCAGCAAGGACTTCTACTGTTGTCCAGGAAAGACTGGCAGCAGTAATTAAACATCTTTTCCTTTCTTTCTGTGACTAAACTATAACAATCAGTCAAAACGCATCAAGATTGGCAAACATTTGTCAAGCAACTGAAACACTGGTTTATCATGAATACTGTTAATGGTTCCTTCAAATCTGACCTTAAAGTTTCACTACCTAGTCATCTCACAATCATGGTAATGCACAGGAATGCAAAAATGAAACTGGCGATAGGTAAAAATATACCATAATAAAACAAAACGGCACAAGTCATCATAAACGTCAGCCGTAAAAAAGTGGACTAACATTTCTGAGTGGCTTGTTCATTTAAAAAATGCTTATTGTATGTAAAAATCAATGCACTTTGAGGTTTCAATGAGGGACCACAAGTCATACAAGCTGATAGCATGTTATACAAAACTGTTATGATCATGCATTAGTGAAAACTTACTTACTGACTTAAGATTAATTTAAGAGATCACCATAACATGTTCAAACTATCTGCACAGAAAATCCTTCCTTATGTGCCAGTGACATCATTGACTCTCACAAAACCTCAAGCCTTTACAAAACATCAGAAGCAGGTTCATCTTTCCCTCTGAGGTGAATGTGGAAACGCAGAGTTTGCGTCCTCTTGGAGAGATTCCATGTCGGAGGATGTGAGAGTTCGGTTTGACACAGGGGCATTACATGGCCGGCTCTGCTGCAAAAAGCAAATCAGCCCCTTGTGATTTCTGCGTGTCTACGTGTCCTTACTCCAACCGGGCCCCGCACCGTTTCAGGGCTGAGAGAGACGCTTGCGTTTGAGCTTCTGCCTTGCCATTTCCTCCTTTCAAAACAAAAACAGAGAGAGGACAAGAGAGTACTGACAACACACTCTTGCATCCGCCGCGAAATAACGTCCATCTCTTCAAGCATCCATCCTGTGAGAATGGACGAGTGCGCACACGACAATCAGGCAACAAGGCAGGCTTTGTTAGTTAGGCACTCCTCTACTCCAACAATGGCATCTGGACTGTCCTCCAAACTAAGAGTCTCACGGCCACGTCACGTCAGTCTCTTCAAAAGCACGGCTGCTTTCACAACAACAACACCGGATCTCGAGTTTAAACATTTTTTTTTTAATACTGTAGACCCAAATATGTCCTTGTTCTCAAAGTCTCAATATATTATATAATAGGATTTTATAAAAAAGGAAAAAAAGGGAGTGGGGTTGTTGGCATAGTATTCTGTTGCAATATATACCACATCAATATGTACAGATTCCATGCTGCTGGTTAGTAATCACTGCAAAAGAAGAAAAAAATGGACTGATTAGTGCGGAAGAATTAAAATGAGCAAATAACTACTGCATTCAGATATTCATGCACTGCAATTACAAAATCGCACACAGGCTGTAATATACTTACAAAATGCTCCTGTGTCAAATAAGCCAACAAATATGAATTCAATTGAATAATACTAAGCATGTGTTTTGACTTTGTTAGCCATTCCCCCAGAGCACTCTCTGCTGTATCAAAATCATTTGGAAATGATTTCATAAGTTAATAAAATGATTAAAAAAAAACATGTTCGAAATTTTAACACTCACCTTGTGCCAGCAGCCCGGTATGGGTAGCCCGTCACGTCCCTGCAAGGTGAAAACAGAAGTTAAAAAAAGCGTGAAAATGTCCAGCGATGCATGCTTCCCTGCATCTGAAGAATTTGCACGCTGCTGATTTTAATGTCGGTTGGTGTGCCTTCACGGTCAGCCCTGTTAAATTAAAAATTTGTTTTGATTTTAAGTCATATGTTACTCTAATAAATCCAGATTTCTAAGTACCACATTACTTTTATTATCACATTTAAAATGAACATTTCGATATTTGGAGAAATACTTGGATAACACGATGGTCGATCTGTTAAATAAGAGGTACAGTCAGCAGTCCAGTTAACTTAGCTTCGCTTTGGATAGGTGCACTATCTTGACAGAAGTACTGGGACACACCTCTTTATCTCTGAAAAGACGTGTGATAAAATGCACCTATCCATGCAATCTGCTTTTAGAAATATTTGGTCATTGCAAAGAGCTTGCTGAGTCAGTTCATGCAATGTCTTCATCAACTATAAATGGTATTATTGTAAAGTGGAATTATTTAGGAACTATGACAACTTGACCAGAAAGTGTCAGACCATATAAAGTTAGTTACTGAGAGCTGTGCTGCATAGCACATAAAAGCTTCCTCAGTAAGTGCAGAGCTCCAAACCTCTGGCATTAACATCAGCACAGAAACTGTGCACCAGGAACTTCCTGCCATG